GAAAAACACTACCAAAGGATTGGGGTGTATACAACGTGTGAGCTGGGATGTCCTCGCGCAACGAAGAAATAACGGGGGGCTCGGGATACTGGACCCGAAAAAGGAGAGTGATGTGCTGATTTTTAAAGTCCTGGTAAGGCTGCTTATAGGTAATGGCATCCCATGGGGCCAGCTGGCCTGTTTGCAGATAGCCGCCCTTGCCCCGGAGTCAACAACGGACAGCGGCCTGCACCCGTTTAGATGGCTAACCAACGAACATTGGCCAATACCCTCCCCCTCGCAGCACAACCGTGTCAGCAGTCCTCAACAAACTGCCAAAATGGACCTCCACTGGGATCCCTTGTAGCCAAATCTGCTGCAGTTGTGGAGGACGTGTGGCCCGCACCAAAACTGCCCCCCCAATAGGTGGCAAGACATATGGAGGCAGCCACTGTTTGGCAACCCCTATATTCTGGATGACAAAGGCGTCCCTTTTGGCCTTACAACAAACTCACCCTGGGCAAAAAAAGGGGTGTACACAGTTGGAGACCTCTGGGACCCGTTGACAGGGGACTGGGCCACAGCGGAAGTATTGCAGCGCAGCCTAAAACATGTTAAAAAGGTAATTAAATTTGTGGACTTTCCCCTACCGCTTACCATATATATGTCAGAATGAGGAATGGAGATGCAAGCTTGAACGTACAAGTTCCTGTTGCTAGGTGTCAGATTTACCAAACTGTCCCGGAATGAAAACTTGGATGGCCAAGAAAATTGGGTGGGGTTTGGTGGGGGATGAACAGCAAGACTTCTTCGCTTATGAACCTACGATCCCGATTGCCAGGTTGCCTTTCGACCCAGGGGAATGGCACTGGCCTGGAACCACACCTATGCATATTTGGAATTACACTGTCAAAGGGGGATACAGAGCCTGCCAATTAATCACACGTTATCCCATAGATGGACACGGGATTCCCCCCTGGACTCGCAGACGGTAGAAAATCTGCCCCGGGCTAAGTACTCGAAAATCATGCCTACGAACCTTAGGGCCCTACAATGGCAGATACTGCACCGATGTTTGCCCACCCCAGATTGGCTTGTCTCGCGTACAGACCTTGACCAGAAAGGGCTGCTGTCTCTCATCTGTGCATATTGTGCTAGGTCGACACCGCCAGCCAGGGCAACACTTGAACATTGCCTGTTAGCCTGCCCAATGGTGACTCAATTGTGGCAGTGGTGGGACGCGGCCTTCTACTTCCTCACGGGGCTGCACATTCCCTGGGACCTCGGCCTTTTGTTGCTCGACAAGAACCACCATCTCATGACTCAATGGCCTCCATTTAACTCTAACCTCTTCTCATACATGAGGCTGCAACTTCTCATGCTGGCATGGTGAATGAGATGTTCCTTTGAAAGGAGGGACCATCAATCCGGGCTGCAGCAAGCCCAGCAGGCAATTGAAGAGGAGATCAGATCCCGCACACGGGATGCATGGAAATCCTTCATATTGGATCCCATGGGGGTGTCTTTAATTTTATTTTCTTCTTGGTTTAAAGGTCCCCTACCTACAGACCAATTTTGTCCTCATTACACACCACCCGCCTGGCCCCTAGCCGCCCTCACCTTCTCCAGGTACCCCCTTGCTCACACCATGTGCACACACCCTCCCTCCCTCCCCCTTTGTTGTTACCCTCACTCCATTCACCGCCCATTGGCCCCCTCATCTACCCCCCCCCCCATATTCCCTCCAAACGACGGCAGGAAGAGTCCAGGCGAGGCGGAATATGAGTGCTCATGAGACGGCGACAATGCAAAGACACTCTGCAGAATAAGTCCCCAAACAGGAGAAGACCCTTAGGAGAATGGATTGCTGAGAAGGCCAGCGCAGAGGGTGCTGCCCCTGAACACGACAGATGATGAGACGAAGCAAGCTGAGAGCGACATGACGTGACAAGACCAAGGGAGGTGACAACAAAAGGAGAGGCTCTGTCATAAGGACATCAGCGCCCCCCCCCCCCCCCCAAAAAAAAAAAGAATGGCACCCACGACGCCCAAGCACTGTCTTTTGCCTCCACGCATTTGGAGAATAAAGTCTTCCAGGGTGGGGAGGGATAGGGTTTATTATTGGCACCCTCGGTGTCGC